TACTTCCCGTTCTTGCACTCCGTGGCGACCTCATTTGGCTGCGGGTAAAAAACAGGGTAACCCCAAAATGGGTTGCCCTGGTAAATGGAACCAAGGCCTAAAACCTGCGGTCTTGCTGGTGGTTTGATGTTGACCCATACCATACCCATGTTTTTTTGCGGCGTGCGATAGGTACTTGGATGTTCGATTCGCCAAGTCAGTAAGTGGTTGGCCTCCTTGGTCACCCACAAATGACTGGGTAAACCCCACTACACGTGGGTTATGACCTCGGTTACCACCGACTTACTATTTTGGCCGAACGCCCAAGTAGGGAATGGAATGTGGTTGAATGAACTGGTGTTGGGGATCCCCGAAGAAAGGAAACCACCAGTTGGATGGTTGGAATGTGGTTGATGGTTTCTAGGGGAGGGTGTCTCTTGGGGTCATAGGGGAGGGTGTATAGGGGATGGTTTAAAGGAAGCCAAAGCGGGGGATGGGTTTGCTGGGGCTCATTCCAAAGCTTGTTTTCCAGAGCCAAGTCTTCCAGTCCGCCAGTTTCGGTTAACGGACGAAACCGTCGGACTCCTAACTGGGCTGCCCTCAGATCCCCGGCAAAAAGTGACTCTCTTTTAGTGGGTTAAATGGACACCACCACTAAACACTAAAAGGCTAAAAAGCTAAGGAACCGGATGGCTCGGAGCTACCAAGTTAAAAGGATATGTGTGAAAAGTCACGGTGAACATGGATGGCTTTTTGGCCAGTTGGTGGTGTTTGCATATTTGGGGGTGGTCCCGCCTTCTTGTCAGCCAACGGATTCAATCATATTAGAGCTGCATTCAAACAGTTGCATTTTGGCAGAGACACGGGGGGGGAGTCACTATTTGCTCTGGCAAATGTGCGGCGCGTCTGGGCAGTTACCCCTTTTGAATGTTTGAAAGGCAAACCACCCCGATCTTTCAGAAACATCCACCACGCAACTTTCCAGAGAAAAGTTCGTCCTGTGCCCCCGGGGTAAGTCACAATGAAAACCTGGCCAGCTGGGTCTACATCCACAGCGCAGAATCCGAAACCACCTGCGATTCCCCAAGCCTTGAGCCCAGTTTCGGGAGGCAAAAAGGCTCGGATTCTGTCTCTCAGGAACTGGGCCAGTTGGGGCTCCCGCAGTGGCACTGACGCACTTCAACACGTCCGCCGGGCAAATCGCACAGTTGCGGCCCTCGCTGCTGGTGCCGTTCTTGTAGTACCCGTCAGGGCAGGCCGCCTGCGATTGGCCAGAATTATCCATTGGTAGGGGAAATCCAACCCCTCCCAAATGAACCATCTGAGATTCAACCCCTCCAAAATGAACCACACGGATTTCTTGACCAAACCTCAAAAAATGCTGTGGCTGTGGGTCAAAATTAGGTACCCAAAATGGAGCCCTGGTAAATGGAAACATGGACTAAAACCTGCGGTCCCCTGGTAGTTTAATTTGACCCATGCCCATGTAAGAGAGCTTCACAAATGGCTTTGTCCATGCGCAGCATGGCGGACTCGGCTCCCGCCTCGCACCAGCCGTCGGGGTTCAGGAAATAACCTCACTGACTGGCACGTTGTTTTTTTGTTGCCGGGGCCTGCTGAAGCGGCCTGCTCGATGGTCAAGTGCGAAGATCATGCCACTTGGGCGAATTGGTGACCCAGAACTGATGGCCAGGAAGGTGCCCATAGCTTTTCTGCGCTCTTTTTCGAACAGTTGCAAGGTCATGTCGGTCAGATCAAAGAGCAAAGCCAAATGATCTGCAGATACAGTAGCTAGCGCCTCTCAATAAATTCGCCGAATGCCCAGACCCCCTGTGGATTGCCATGGAAAAACACACGGCACGCTGAGTTGTTGGCCGATTTTTGAAGAAGGCCCACCCCTCCAGAAGAACAGCAAGCCACCGGGAATCGGTCGGGGGATTCCAATCAACTGACGGGTCTCTGCGATAGAGTCACCCCACTCAGCTCGGTTCCTCAAAAAGTCCGCTGCAACACTTGCGCGAAGGAGCCACTGGTCGTGGCAGCAAGTCACATCTGCCCCCCCCCCAAAAAAAAAACAGAGCAAGTTGGGTTCTACCACATGGCTGCCCTCCCACCAATTAATCACATGGAACCTGACAGAGGAGTCCTGGTTTGGACCATTGTCCTTTTAGCGGGACCCTCGAACGTCAGGTTACATGTCGATTGGTGGGAGGGTATAACGGTTGATATATGCGGTACTAGAACCCCAATGAAGCCACAACGTCGAACCGCTAAAATGGCCAATAGGAATTGGTTTTGGGGACAAAGGACTGAAATGCACACAAGTCTTCCAAGGAGCCGTTGCTGCACTTCTGACAGGTGTCACCTGGGCGGTTCCGATGCTGCCACGAGTCGGCCCAGATCAGCCGAACTCGGTCTTCTCTATCCCCGAAGGCGCGACAAATCGATCACCTCCAGTTTCAAAGGTTAAAATTCGAGCAAATCACTTGGGCGATTGAACCAATTCAAAACCAAGCCCACAGGCTTGGGTCAACCCTCTGATTGAAACATGTTGCAACAAGTTATTGTGTGTTTCCCTTAGACAGAATCCGGTCGTTTCAACACGAGGGGATCTAAAAGCCGAGGCAATGAATGGCCTCAAGGCAAGGAAACAAAGGACTCAATCAAAACTTTGGGTGTGCCCTTTTTTGGAGGGTACCCTTTTCAGCTCGGGTCAGAAAAGGGAAACCCACAGGAAACCAACCACTTTGGGGTTCCCCACCCTTCTCGACCCTGGTGGTTTGATCTTTTTAAGCATGTCGTCTACAGGGAAAAAGTGAAAGGGCTCTCTGCTCGGGCTGTAACTCTGATTGGGTTTCTCATGGTGTTGCTTGGTACACTCTGTACATGAGCCTCAATAGCGTAGGCCACGGTGAAACTCGTTTATGGAATCGGCCCGCCTGGCTCAAGGGAAATCGGCCGATCTCAAATCGACCGCCGTCGGGGTATCGTATCCCATGACTAGGGAAAATCACGGGACATGGTTCCCGTTACGTGACTCAACGGGGATCCTTACATTATACACCTAAACATTGCAACTTGTAAATGGTGGTGTCCCTTTATTTTGTTGAAAAAGCAACATGTTTCAAATGGTTGCAACGTGAATTTCTTTTTTGCGGAGCCCTGCTCATTCGCAACAACCCTGAACTGAAATGGTAGCTATGGAAACACGTCAGCTTTCGGGGGGCCTTCATGAAAGCCGGACTATTCGCTTAGCTTTGAGTTTGTTCAAGGAAAATCGAGGGCAGCAATTTGGAAGGGTCCTGAGCCCCAAACCGGATCACCTTTCTGCCCAAAAAGGAATTCAACTCATCGTTTTGCTTTTTGTTTGAAAGGACACCAAAAGCAACCCACCTTTTCAAGGTCCATTTCCCTTGAGCAACTGCGAATTGGACTGTGCTGAGCAAACGCGCACTAACATGGGTTTCACATCATATTTGGAGATATGTCAATGGCAAATAAGGCGTGCAAATACGGCCTTAACAGTCAAGGATAATCCTTGGAGCGATGCTCCGTAGCATCCCACGCAAACATTGAACGTTCAAGGGGAAGCGTTTCTAAGCCATGAAACTGCGATACATGATGCAATTGAAACAAGGGCAGCCACATGGCATGCGTTGCCTTCAGCCAAAATGGGTGCGAGATCCTTGCGGCTTCCCTTAAGGGCCTCCTGCGACTTGGACATTTGTAATATATTTTGCAGGCCCGACAAAAAGGTGGTTTGAAGATTGACGAGTATCCACCATACCTTGGCCCTCCAAAAAAGCTCCGTGACCGAACTGCCAGGAATTTACCAAATTCCCGCGCCTGGGCTGACCGCACTGACACGTGGGCGGTTGGCTATGTGTGATGCCAATCTCTTTCATTGCTAGCCAGTTTGGGCTTGGTTTTCCTGGGAGCCATGAAAGGACACCCTTGGCGCGCCGCATCTTTTCAAATTCTCTTTCATCTTCGGTCTACCACTAAGTTTCACCATCATCTTGGAGGACCGCCTTGCCCACGGCATTTTGCCCCCCCCCGAAACCAAAGACACAACAAACCCGGCGCCGCCAAAACCACCGCGCCGCCAAAACCACCGCGCCAACCCCGCCCCGACCAGCCCCTCCCCTCCGTCGTCTCGGTCCAAGTGCCGGGCCGTGGGTGCAGAGCGCGCAGTTCGCGGCGCAGGGCATGCAGCTGCGGCCCAGGTCGCCTCTCTCTCGCGCAGGCCCCGTGCGCGCGGAGCGCGGCGCGCGGAGCGGGAGGGGCGGAAGTTGAAATCAGCGAAGCCTCTGACGCCAACTTCAGATCCCGGGAATCGGTTTCTGGATGGTAGGTAAACCTTCTCCCCTTCGCCATTTGTTCTTTTGGTGGATCACTCGAAACGGTTGAAACATTTGAGTCATGGTCAAAGCTCATCATGCGGGCCATGGTCATGGTATTCTTGCTGGGGACCCTCATACTGGTTGCTTGAATTCCCTACTGGGTCCATGACCATCCCTACCTCAAGCAAAACAGGTGCTTATTGACCATGGCACACGTGAACAGGGCTGTGGGACATGACAGCTTCTGTGATACAACCAAAAGGGCTCCCCAAAGACTAGCCCCCCATATAAAGGGGGATATTTCTTGCATCACAGCAGTGGGGATAAACCCCGAGTGATCCCGCAACCCTGCACGTGAACGTAAAGGAAATCCCAAAGGGCGTTGATTGCACGTGCCCTGCAATCGACGCCAATCGCCGCCAGCAGCTCAGAGAGTTGTGCTTGAACGCGGCAATCAGACACCAAATGTTCACCAAATGAGGGCGTCCTTTTTTGGGGGACCCCCAGAAATGGCTTCGGTTTTCCTATTGGTTTTCCTTTAAATCCCGCCAAAACAGGCAGTAGAGAGGTTAGAATAAGGGTACCAAATTTTTCTGATTTGTCCATTTTAGGATCGGGAAACCCTTCCCGGGACCTAGCAGAGGTACCCTCGAAAAGAACAAAAAAACACGCCCTCCCTCATCGGTGGGTGCCTGTGCCGGCATGGTAGGTGCCCACTGGGCAGCTGCTCTCACCTCGGCCGGAAGGCTTCTGAAAGGGCCATGTTCGAAAGGGCCGTGGCTTGACACCCGTGGCTTTTCTGAGCTCAGATGCCCAGTGGATTTCCATGGGGAAAAAAGGGCATCCTCTTTTTTTTCCCATGGTTGAGTTTCAAGGGGAATCCTTCCCAAAAGAAAGGGAAAAAGGGCGCCACCGGGCAACTGGGTGAGGGTTCATTCCAACCATGCTTTCCAACCATCGTTCTTTTCGAACACCGGTCGTTTCCCTGGGTTTCCGGAGGTTTTCTACCAAGAAGGATCCCTGGAAAGAATGGGGAAGGTAGCACTAGAGTTTTGTCCGGGTATTTGCCGTTGAAGCCAGTGCTTTTTGTGGGTATTTGCATTGTTTGTGGGCATTTCAACCATGGTTTAAGGCAAGTGCGTTCTTCACAGCCTCCTTTGATTTGCGGCTTCCCGCGTTAAAGGAATTGGACCAGTGCTTGGTTGCTGAAGCACATGTTGCAACCAACCCTGGTCAAAAGGAACCTGCAAGACGAGTTATTCCTTGTCAAAACTTGCCGGGTGTTCCCCCCTCCCCCGCCCCCCAAACAAGTGTGGCTTGCTTGGGAAGCTTTTCACTTTCCAACGGTGCCAACAACAGCACAGGGATCCAGACACAAATCGGCCAAGCAGTTCTGTTGATTGGGAAACCTTCATTCCACCAAGTTCAGCGGCTTTCTTGAGTCGGGGACCTGGGTTGGGCTTTGGGACCGTTGTGTGCCTCAAAGTTTCTGGAAGTCTGGGTCCCCTGCTACAAGTCGAAACCACTTGTGGGCGAAATGGAAACCCGACCGCTTGACCAACTAAAACCTAGAAACCCAAGGGGACGGTTGGGAACCACTAGGGAGTGGACTGACAACATGTTTGCGCATGTGTGGCAACGTAGCCTTTACCCAATCCCATTCCGCGGCCCATCCGTCTAAAGCGCCGAATTTAATTGGGGCCAGGAACAGCTGAAAGCTATGGATTTGGTCGGTAGGCCCAGATAGGCTATGGGGTGGCTTGGGGCAGCTTGGGAGGGTTCAAAAGGAGGGTTCCAGGATGTTCCGGGGCTGTTGGGGGTACCACCTGGGCTTATTTTCTGAGCCCGGCTCTACAAAAAAAACGGCTGTTCAGATTCAGCCCTCTTTACTTAGTAGAAACCAGCTACAGGAATTTCTACAGGAACGGGGCCAAACCAAACATGTTTTTTTCCTGTGAAATGTCATGTAGCTTGGTTCTTGGACTTTTACATCCAAAAAAATAAATTCATTTTGGAGGATACCCCCAAGAAGTGCGAGCCGCACAAAAATCGGGGAAATGTTGCCAACTAAGCTTGAGGCCACAGAAGGATCGGGTGTCCATGACTTGGCCTTTCCAGTCAGAGTTGTCCAGAGAAAAATGATCTGTTCGGGGAAGCGATGGGGTTGGTTGGGGTGGGGGGTCTGGTGGGTGAGAGTCTGTGTCATATTTAGCTTCCCCCAAACAAAAAAGAAGAAGCATCCAAAATCTTGTCCATGTGAGGATGGGTTCTAACAAATGGCCTCTGTGGTTCAGATCCCCCGCTCAAACCCTTTAACCCTTGGGTCAAATTCGGACATCAAACCACCAAATTGGTTTCAAACCAGCTAAAAAGCTCTGAGCAAAAAAAACCTGAGTTGAGCCGGACGGCTGAGCTTACCAAGACATCCGCCCGATCGGACCGCCCCACTCGGTTGCACCTTCGGCCCCCGTATCGGATTTCGGATTTCGGGGGCCTGAACGGGAGCCGAGTCGCAGGTGCCCTGCGCTGTGAGGTACTTCCGGTTGCGGCACTCCGTGCCTCCGAGCGGACCGAGCCACACGGACGCGGGGGTCGGGGGTGGGTGGCCCGTCTCGTTGGCGTTTTTTTGTTGAGGCTCGGTGGCCGTTTTGGGGTAGAAGGCGGGGTTGGACATGTGCGCTTCGTACGTGGGCTTCACCTCTTCTAAAGTTTTCTGTGGTCCTTTTTAGTCATTAACGCTTTAGTAGATCTTTTATATCCTAAAGGGGTGGATCTGCAAAAGCAACATCCAAACCGTTTCATAGACGTTGGGTTGGTTTCAAAGGAAGCCACAACACAAGGAAACCGTTGCGAATTCGGGGGTTATTTTGTACTAAAACTCACCCTGCGGGGTACTCCAAAACAAAGACACAACATGCTCCGGCTCTGTTCCGAGTTTGAAGACCACAGGTTGGTGGGTCGCACCAAGATTCCCGTTCGGAGAATCCAGAAAGAATTCAGGGACTCTCAGAAAACAATAGTCCGAAACCTGAAACAAGAACCGGATCCTCAAGTAAAGCGCCTACATCATAGCTCGTGTTGTGAAGAACAACAAAAACATACACCTAGAAAATGATATCAGGTTTTGAAAAAATAGGCCTGGACCTTTGCAGCCCGCCAGAACCAAAGAGAGCAAACAACAATACAAGCACGCTCCAAGGGAGAAAAAAAATTACAACAAAAACCACCGTGTTGCACAGGGCGGCCTCAATAGCAAGAATGGAAAGAATGGAAATGGAAGGTACCCTCTTTTCCGCCCACGAATCCCGAAACCCGGAACCTTCATTCATAAACCACGCCAAAGGTGGGTCAACGATCCGATGCCCGAACCTTCACCTCCTCAGCGGATTTTTTTGCGGTTTACCACTTCAAGGCTCCAAATCCCGGAGAGAAAGTGGAGAGGTGATCCGGAGAAGCTGGTCGAGAATGTGATTCGCGCGCGAATCCCGAATCCCGAATTCGAATCCCGCCGGATCCAAGGATGGGGCCTTCCCAGTCACGAATCTCGAATCCCGAATCCCGAATCCCCAGTCCCGAAAATGTGATTCAGGTCCCGAATCCCGAATCTCGAAAATGTGATTCGAGTCCCAAATCACGAGTCCCGAATCTGAGGATGGGGCCATGCCAGTCCCGATTCCCGAATCCCGAATCCCGAAAATATGAGTCGAGTCCCGAATCCCGAATCCCGAATCCCGAATCCCGAGAATGGGAATCCCGAAATGTGATTCGGGTCCAGAATCCCGAATCCCGAATGCCGAAAATGTGATTCAAGGCCCGAATCCCGAATCCCGAATCCCGAACATGTGATTTAATCCCGAAATGTGATTAAATCCCGAATCACGAAATTGGCAGCGACCTCCGGATCGCCACTCAAAAAGTGAAACTTTAGTCCACGAACTCGTTGGACGTGGTTTCCAGTGGATCCTAAGCCTTGGAGCATTTCCCAGATCTGTGAAAGCCTTGGAGTGATTTGAGTTTTTTTGGGCTGGGACAAGCTGGATGCCCCGGTGTTTTCCCAGAAGGAGGAACTCGGAGACTGAGAATTCATGATCGCCGCAGCCGAGAAGACCTCCGGAACCAGAAACGACCTCGGCTTTAGGCAACGCATAGGTTTAACTCCAGCCCGTACGTGTTGAATCTGGAAATGGACAAATATCAGTGAAGCAATACGCCCTAATATATCCCCCATAGCGACTCCAGAGATCCAGAGAGCAAGCTGACACAGCCTTTTGGGGGGGGGACAAAAAGCACGGGGTTTGTCCCACAATAAGAGGAATCCAAAAACACTCAACATCCCAAAAACGGTTGCAAAAACAAGAGTCTTCAATATTCAACCACAACCCAAAAACGGGCTCCTCAAACAGAAACGAGAAGAATTTCCATCCGGCAAGACCTCCATAGGGGAAAACCGCGACAAACTTTCGACTTGGCGCTTTGGCGCTTTGGCTCTTTGGCTCGGCTGCCCGGCCCAGCTTGGGGCTGATGCAGTTGAAGAAGTCCCCGGGGCAGATCTCGCAGGTGCGGCCTGGCGAACTCGCGACGCGACCCAGCGGTTCCACGAGCTCCGCGCCTCAAAACATGTCTCGCCGGGGCGACTGACGGGTCCCCTGCGTAGCTTTTCCAAGGTTTTCACCGAGGGAGACACAGAGCATGGCAAAATCTCTGGTGGCAAACGTCATCTCTTTCGGAATCGGACACACAAAATGGCGTTTTTTCTGGTTGTCCTTGTGGTGTTCCTTTGAAACCAATCCTCACAAAGAGACGCACCCACAGGCGTCTTGTTCTGCTCGGTTGCCTTTTTGGGTTAAGGGAACCCGAAAGGTAACCCACCATTTTTTTTCAGGGGGGTTACTGATTTTGAGACAAACCCTTGTAATGAGGTGGATATCACATTGAACCTCTGGAAAAAAAGTGGTTGGGGGCTAGTGGAAACCGTCCTAGAGACTCTGATTTAACCTGGCGTCACTTCCTGAGTAGATATAGTAGATGGAAGTAAAAACAAGTCCAAACTGTTTGTTTACCACTAAACTGGTCTTCCAACAAGTTTAAAGTACAGGGACTCAGGGAGTGAGTTTAAACCATCGTCAAAGAGCAACGTGAATCCCGGCTCGGAAGCGCCTCGCCTGTCTTGCCGCGGCCTTTGGGGTAGTACCCATCCGGGCACCCCTCCTGGATATGCGTGAATGGATGTCTTGTCTGCTTTCGGCGCAAGGAGAGCTCTCTTGGGGAACCCCCCGAAAATCTGGTCTGAGATGAGATGGGTTTCCCTAGTAGATGAGGGAGAAAAAAAAGGTAAACCAGGGATTGCCATCTATTTTTCTAGCAAAACAACCCAAACTGACACCTCCCTGAAACCCAAAGGGAAACCCTCTTTTCTGCTCCCCACTAAAACACAAAAAAGCTGAAAGCCCAAGGATGGCTGGGAGCCACCAAGCTTTGGAAGGAAGGGCCGCACTGGGGGTGTGGGCGCCTCAGAAGAACTCAGAGTAGGTGCAATACAAGCTACAATTCTACGAACTGTCGTCCTCACCTGAAGTCAGGTAAAGGTCACAGGTTCATTGTCATAGCGTGGTGGCAAATCGTCCCGTGCAAGCACGCAAGATCATTAACCAGAAAGCAGCAAGACCGCATTGCTCCCGCAAAGCTCGCGATGTGCACATGACGCGTCCGACAAGGTACAATCAAGATGTCAAAGTGCAAAGCAGTCCAAGCGGTCGGCTGTGCAAGGAGGGCAGGGCAAACCGCCAAACTCGAGGACCTGTCCAACGCGGCGCCAACTTGTGCAAACGTGGTAACCCGCAGGACCAGAAAGGAATTGTCATCAGCGAGTGAAAGGGCACATCGCAAACACGTGTGTGTGTGTGTGTGTGTCAGGCGAAATCACTCATTCAGCCTTCCCCCACAGAGTCACAAGCTGCCAAATATCGCACTTACTTGCAAACGATGCTTGTCCCACACCAAAACAAAACAACAAAACTGTCCTTGGCCATTCAGGCTACATCCTGCTGACGCTCGGAAACGTTCTACACAACCACTTTCAGCATAGTAAGGATTGATTGATGTGAGTCCTCACCTGAAGTCTGGTAAAGGTCACAGGTTCATTGTCATCATAGCGTGGTGGCAAAACGTCCCGTGCAAGCACGCAAGATACTGTAACCAGAAAGCATCAAGACAACATTGCTCCCCACAAAGCTCGCGATGTGCACACGACGCCAAAAGTTGCCAACAGTCCAGCTGTTCCAATTGTGTCCGACAAGGCACAATCAAAATGTCAAAAATCAGAGCAGTGCAAGCGGTCGGCTGCTCAGGGAAGTCAGAACAAGCTGCCAAACTCAAGGACCTGTCCAAACAGATGCCAACTTGTGCAAACGTGGTAACCCGCAGGACTAGAAAGGAATTGTCATCAGCGAGTGAAAGCGCACATCGCAAACATATGCACCAGGCGAAAATCATTCATTCAGCCTTCCTTCACAGAGTCACAAGCTGAAAAACACCTACTTACTTGCAAACGATGCTCGTCCCACTGCAAGACAACACAGCCAAACGGAAACTGGCCGTTCAGGCTACCCTGACGCTCGGAAGAAATCAACACAACCACTTTCAGCATAGTAAGGATTGATTGATGCGTGTCCTCACCTGCAGTCAGGTAAAGGTCACAGGTTCATTGTCATCATAGCGTGGTGGCAAAACGTCCCGTGCAAAGCACGCAAGATAACTAACCAGAAAGCATGAAAACCAAATTGCTCGCGCAAAGCTCGCGATGTGCACACGACGCTACAAGTTGCCAACAGTCCAGCTGTTCCAATTGTGTCCGACAAGGCACAATCAAGATGTCAAAGTTTAAAGCAGTGCAAGCGGTCGGCATTTCCATGAGGGCAGGGCAAACCGCCAAACTCGAGGACCTGTCCAACACGCTACCAACTTGTGCAAACATGGCAACCCGCAGGACCAGAAAGGAATTGTCATCAGCGAGTGAAAGGGCACATCGCAAACATGCGCGTCAGGCGAAATCACTCATTCAGCCTTCCTCCACAGAGTCACAAGCTGCCAACCATCGCACTTACTTGCAAACGATGCTTGTCCCACACCAAAACAAAACAACAAAACTGTCCCTGGCCACTCAAGCTAAATCCTGCTGATGCTCAGCAAAATTATGCACAACCACTCTCAGCATAGTAAGGATTGATTGATGTGAGTCCTCACCTGAAGTCAGGTAAAGGTCACAGGTTCATTGTCATCATAGCGTGGTGGCAAAACGCCCCGTGCAAAGCACGCAAGATCCACAAAGCTCGCGATGTGCACACGACGCTACAAGTTGCCAACAGTCCAGCTGTTGCAATTGTGTCCAACAGGGCACAATTAACATGTCAAAAGTCAAAGCAGTGCAAGCGGTCGGCTTCTCACGGAGGGCAGGGCAAACCGCCAAACGCAAGGACCTGTCCAGCACGGTGCCAACTTTGGCAAACGTGGTAACCCGCAGGGCTAGAAAGAAATTGTCATCAGCGAGTGAAAGGGCACATAGCAAACAGTTGCGTCATGCGGAACATTCATTCCTCCTTCCCTCACAGAGTCACAACCTGCTAAACACCCACTTACCTGCAAACGATGCTCGTCCCACAGCAAAACAAAACAGCCAAACGGAACCTGGCCGTTCAGGCTACATCCTGCTGACGCTCGGAAAAAATCAACACAACCACTTTCAGCATAGTAAGGATTGATTGATGTGAGTCCTCACCTGCAGTCAGGTAAAGGTCACAGGTTCATTGTCATCATAGCGTGGTGGCAAAACGTCCCGTGCAAAGCACGCAAGATAACTAACCAGAAAGCATGAAAACCAAATTGCTCGCGCAAAGCTCGCGATGTGCACACGACGCTACAAGTTGCCAACAGTCCAGCTGTTCCAATTGTGTCCGACAAGGCACAATCAAGATGTCAAAGTTTAAAGCAGTGCAAGCGGTCGGCATTTCCATGAGGGCAGGGCAAACCGCCAAACTCGAGGACCTATCCAACACGGTGCCAACTTGTGCAAACGTGGTAACCCGCAGGGCTAGAAAGGAATTGTCATCAGCGAGTGAAAGGGCACATAGCAAACAGTTGCGTCATGCAAAATCATTCATTCCTCCTTCCCGCACAGAGTCACAACCTGCTAAACACCCACTTGCCTGCAAACGATGCTCGTCCCACAGCAAGACAAAACAGGCAAACGGAACCTGGCCGTTCAGGCTACCTGCTGACGCTCGGAAAAAATCAACACAACCACTTTCAGCATAGTAAGGATTGATTGATGTGAGTCCTCACCTGCAGTCAGGTAAAGGTCACAGGTTCATTGTCATCATAGCGTGGTGGCAAAACGTCCCGTGCAAAGCACGCAAGATAACTAACCAGAAAGCATCAAGACCACATTGCTCCCACAAAGCTCGCGCTGTGCACACGACGCTACAAGTTGCCAACAGTCCATCTGTTCCAATTGTGTCCGACAAGGCACAATCAAGATGTCAAAGTTCAAAGCAGTGCAAGCGGTCAGCTTCTCAAAAAGGGCAGGGCAAACCGCCAAACTCAAGGACCTATCCAACACGGTGCCAACTTGTGCAAATGTGGTAACCCGCAGGGCTAGAAAGGAATTGTCATCAGCGAGTGAAAGGGCAAATCGCAAACATGTGCGCCAGGCGAAATCACTCATTCAGCCTTCCTCCACAGAGTCACAAGCTGCCAACCATCGCACTTACTTGCAAATGAAGCTTGTCCCACAGCAAAACTAAACAACCAAACTGTACAGGCACATTCAGGCTGCATCCTGCTGACGCTCGGAAACGTTCTACACAACCACTTTCAGCATAGTAAGGATTGATTGATGTGAGTCCTCACCTGAAGTCAGGTAAAGGTCACAGGTTCATTGTCATCATAGCGTGGTGGCAAAACGTCCCGTGCAAGCACGCAAGATACTGTAACCAGAAAGCATCAAGACAACATTGCTCCCCACAAAGCTCGCGATGTGCACACGACGCCAAAAGTTGCCAACAGTCCAGCTGTTCCAATTGTGTCCGACAAGGCACAATCAACATGTCAAAAGTCAAAGCAGTGCAAGCGGTCGGCTTCTCAAGGAGGGCAGGGCAAACCGCCAAACGCAAGGACCTGTCCAGCACGGTGCCAACTTTGGCAAACGTGGTAACCCGCAGGGCTAGAAAGAAATTGTCATCAGCGAGTCAAAGGGCACATAGCAAACATATGCACCAGGCGAAAAACATTCATTGAGCCTTTCCCCACAGAGTCACAAGCTGCCAAACATCGCACTTGCTTGCAAACGATGCTTGGCCCAAGGCAAAACTAAACAACCAAACGGGCCTTGGCCATTCAGGCTACATCCTGCTGACGCTCGGAAAAATTCTAGACAACCACTTTCAGCATAGTAAGGATTGATTGATGCGAGTCCTCACCTTCAGTCAGGTAAAGGTCACAGATTCATTGTCATCACAGCGTGGTGGCAAAACGTCCTGTGCAAGCACGCAAGGTAGTTAACCAGGAAGCATCAAGATCACATTGCTCCCACAAAGCTCGCGCTGCGCACACGACGCTATAAGTTGCCAACAGTCCAGCTGTTCCAATTGTGTCCGACAAGGCACAATCAACATGTCAAAGTTCAAAGCAGTGCAAGCGCTCGGCTTCTCAAGGAGGGCAGGGCAAACCGCCAAACTCAAGGACCTGTTCAACACGATGCCAACTTGTGCAAACGTGGTAACCCGCAGGGCTAGAAAGGAATTGTCATCAGCGAGTGAAAGGGCACATAGCAAACAGTTGCGTCATGCAAAATCATTCATTCCTCCTTCCCGCACAGAGTCACAAGCTGCCAAACAAAAAACTGCCGTTGCTGGCAAACGATGCTAGCTGTCCCACTGGAGCACAATCAGCCTCAAGCCAGATCTTCTCGGCAGCTGCCTGCATGTTAAAAGACTGTCTTCAGTTGTCTGTTCCAGCAAAACAAAACAACCAAACGGGCCTTGGCCATTCAGGCTACATGCAGACGCTCGGAAAGATTCAGCACAACCACTTTCAGCATAGTAAGAATTGATTGATGCGAGTCCTCACCTGAAGTCAGGTAAAGGTCACAGGTTCATTGTCATCCTAGCGTGGTGGCAAAGCATTCCAGGCACGCAGGCAACATTTCCAGAATGCATGAAGTCTATGCCAGGCTAAACGCAAGACATAAAGCGAGCAAACGACAAGGGCGCCTCATCAGCCGAACCAGGCACTGAGTGTTGGTCATGTCGCACTCGGCGCATGTCATCAAGAACGTCTCAAGCGGCATCTCCAGTGGCCCGCCGCTTCTCAGGCCAGCATTTGCAATATCGCACATAGCTGCGCAGACTTCTGACAATCTTTCCATGGCCTTTCTCAGAACATAGCAAGGAATTGATTTGGCTCGTCACGGTGGAAGGGCTTTCCAGTCTAATCAATCCTCGCTGGGCCGCTTGCTGAGGTCTGTGGCAAGACGTTTGCCAGCTGATAGGTCAAACGTCAAGCCACTATGCTGCATCCATCCTGCAGTTACTCTCAGCATAGTAAGGATTGCTTGATGTGTGTCCTCAACTGCCATCAGGCAAAGGTCACAGGATATGTCTTCATTGAGAGGTTTTTTTTTTTTTGCGCGATAAATATCTGGGATGGTCTCCAAACCTGCGAAATTGGTGGTTTGCCTTGTTGAGCGTAAACCCTTACACACAGCCATCAACCTCCGGCACCATCTCTTCAAGTCAACGAGTCAGTGGCAATCAACCCCCTGCAAAGCTACCCTCAGAACATAGTAAGGAATTGATTTGGTTCATCGTCACTGGCAGTCAGTGGAAGGGCACATCGCAGGGATGTGCATCATCACATGGGCAGCCCAATCCAATCTGCATTCAATTCCCACTACACACAGCCATCAACCTCCGGCACCATCTCTTCAAGTCAACGAGTCAGCGGCAATAACCTCCTGCAAAGCTACCCTCAGCACATAGTAAGGAATTGATTTGGTTCATCGTCACTGGTAGTCAGTGGAAGGGCACATCGCAGGGATGTGCATCATCACATGGGCAGCCCAATCCAATCTGCATTCAATTCCCACTACACACAGCCATCAACCTCCGGCACCATCTCTTCAAGTCAACGAGTCAGTGGCAATAAACCCCCTGCAAAGCTACCCTCAGAACATAGTAAGGAATTGATCGGTTCATCGTCACTGGCAGTCAGTGGAAGGGCACATCGCAGGGATGTGCATCATCACATGGGCAGCTCAATCCAATCTGCATTCCATTCCAACTACACACAGCCATCAACCTCCGGCACCATCTCTTCAAGTCAACGAGTCAGCGGCAATAACCTCCTGCAAAGCTACCCTCAGAACATAGTAAGGAATTGATTTGGTTCATCGTCACTGGTAGTCAGTGGAAGGGCACATCGCAGGGATGTGCATCATCACATGGGCAGCCCAATCCAATCTGCATTCAATTCCCACTACACACAGCCATCAACCTCCGGCACCATCTCTTCAAGTCAACGAGTCAGCGGCAATAACCCCCTGCAAAGCTACCCTCAGAACATAGTAAGGAATTGATTGGTTCATCGTCACTGGCAGTCAGTGGAAGGGCACATCGCAGGGATGTGCATCATCACATGGGCAGCCCAATCCAATCTGCATTCACTTCCCACTACACACAGCCATCAACCTCCGGCACCATCTCTTCAAGTCAACGAGTCAGCGGCAATAACCCCCTGCAAAGCTACCCTCAGAACATAGTAAGGAATTGATTGGTTCATCGTCACTGGCAGTCAGTGGAAGGGCACATCGCAGGGATGTGCATCATCACATGGGCAGCCCAATCCAATCTGCATTCACTTCCCACTACACACAGCCATCAACCTCCGGCACCATCTCTTCAAGTCAACGAGTCAGCGGCAATAACCCCCTGCAAAGCTACCCTCAGAACATAGTAAGGAATTGATTGGTTCATCGTCACTGGCAGTCAGTGGAAGGGCACATCGCAGGGATGTGCATCATCACATGGGCAGCCCAATCCAATCTGCATTCACTTCCCGCTACACACAGCCATCAACCTCCGGCACCATCTCTTCAAGTCAGCGAGTCAGCGGCAATAACCCCCTGCAAAGCTACCCTCAGAACATAGTAAGGAATTGATTTGGTTCATCGTCACTGGTAGTCAGTGGAAGGGCACATCGCAGGGATGTGCGTCATCACATGGGCAGCCCAATCCAATCTGCATTCAATTCCCACTACACACAGCCATCAACCTCCGGCACCATCTCTTCAAGTCAACGAGTCAGCGGCAATAACCCCCTGCAAAGCTACCCTCAGAACATGGTAAGGAATTGATTGGTTCATCGTCACTGGCAGTCAGTGGAAGGGCACATCGCAGGGATGTGCATCATCACATGGGCGGCCCAATCCAATCTGCATTCACTTCCCGCTACAAACAGCCATCAACCTCCGGCACCGTCTTCTCAAGTCAACGAGTCAGCGGCAATAACCCCCTGCAAAGCTACCCTCAGAACATAGTAAGGAATTGATTTGGTTCATCGTCACAGGTAGTCAGTGGAAGGGCACATCGCAGGGATGTGCATCATCACATGGGCAGCCCAATCCAATCTGCGTTCAATTCCCACTACAAACAGCCATCAACCTCCGGCACTATCTCTTCAAGTCAACGAGTCAGCGGCAATCACCCCCTGCAAAGCTACCCTCAGAACATAGTAAGGAATTGATCGGTTCATCGTCACTGGCAGTCAGTGGAAGGGCACATCGCAGGGATGTGCATCATCACATGGGCAGCCCAATCCAATCTGCTTTCAAATCCCACTACACACAGCCATCAACCTCCGGCACCATCTCTTCAAGTCAACGAGTCAGCGGCAATAACCTCCTGCAAAGCTACCCTCAGAACATAGTAAGGAATTGATTTGGTTCATCGTCACTGGTAGTCAGTGGAAGGGCACATCACAGGGATGTGCAGCATCACATGGGCAGCCCAATCCAATCTGCATTCACTTCCCGCTACAAACAGCCATCAACCTCTGGCACCATCTCTTCAAGTCAACGAGTCAGCGGCAATAACCTCCTGCAAAGCTACCCTCAGAACATAGTAAGGAATTGATCGGTTCATCGTCACTGGCAGTCAGTGGAAGGGCACATCGCAGGGATGTGCATCATCACATGGGCAGCCCAAACCAATCTGCATTCAATTCCCACTACACACAGCCATCAACCTCCGGCACCGTCTCTTCAAGTCAACGAGTCAGTGGCAATAAACCCCCTGCAAAGCTACCCTCAGAACATAGTAAGGAATTGATTTGGCTCATCGTCACTGGCAGTCAGTGGAAGGGCACATCGCAGGGATGTGCATCATCACATGGGCAGCCCAATCCAATCTGCATTCCATTCCCACTACACACAGCCATCAACCTCCGGCACCATCTCTTCAAGTCACCCCCTGCAAAGCTACCCTCAGAACATAGTAAGGAATTGATTGGTTCATCGTCACTGGCAGTCAGTGGAAGGGCACATCGCAGGGATGTGCACCATCACATGGGCAGCCCAATCCAATCTGCGTTCAATTCCCACTACAAACAGCCATCAACCTCCGGCACCATCTCTTCAAGTCAGCGAGTCAGCGGCAATAACCCCCTGCAAAGCTACCCTCAGAACATAGTAAGGAATTGATTTGGTTCATCGTCACTGGTAGTCAGTGGAAGGGCACATCACAGGGATGTGCATCATCACATGGGCAGCCCAATCCAATCTGCATTCACTTCCCGCTACAAACAGCCATCAACCTCCGGCACCGTCTTTTCAAGTCAACGAGTCAGTGGCAAAAAAACCCCTGCAAAGCTACCCTCAGAACATAGTAAGGAATTGATTTGGTTCATCGTCACTGGCAGTCAGTGGAAGGGCACATCGCAGGGATGTGCATCATCACATGGGCAGCCCAATCCAATCTGCGGTCACTTCCCACTACAAACAGCCATCAACTTCCGGCTCCGTCTTTTCAAGTCAACGAGTCAGCGGCAATAACCTCCTGCAAAGCTACCCTCAGAACATAGTAAGGAATTGATTTGGTTCATCGTCACTGGCAGTCAGTGGAAGGGCACATCGCAGGGATGTGCATCATCACATGGGCAGCCCAATCCAATCTGCAGTCACTTCCCACTACAAACAGCCATCAACTTCCGGCTCCGTCTTTTCAAGTCAACGAGTCAGCGGCAATAACCTCCTGCAAAGCTACCCTCAGAACATAGTAAGGAATTGATTTGGTTCATCGTCACTGGCAGTCAGTGGAAGGGCACATCGCAGGGATGTGCATCATCACATGGGCAGCCCAATCCAATCTGCATTCAATTCCCGCTACAAACAGCCATCAACCTCCGGCTCCGTCTCTTCAAGTCAGCGAGTCAGCGGCAATAACCCCCTGCAAAGCTACCCTCAGAACATAGTAAGGAAGTGATTTGGTTCCTCGTCACTGGGCACATCGCAGGGATGTGCATAATCAGTTGGGCAGCCCAATCCAATCTGCATTCACTTCCCGCTACACACAACCATCAACCGAGCTAGCGTCTGATTTCCCCTTGTCGTCAACATTTTGAGGGGGCGGGTTAAATTTGTCCTCTCTTCAGTCTTTTTTTTGGAGGGGGGGCTCCTTTCACCCAGCATTTGGAGTCTAGTTGTTCGCTGTAGATATGTATATGCAACGGACCAATATTTTCCTCGTTTCCCCAAGGCCCAGTCCTCGCACCAGCCGTCCGGGATCAAATACTTGCCATTCGCGCACCTGAGCGCGAAAGGAACATATAATGCCAACCCCTAAGCCAACCCTAAGCCAACCATAAACCAACCACCCACCCACCCACCCAACCCCCCCCCCCTCCCGGGGGCGGGGTGTGTGTGTGTGTGTGTCCATGGCCTGGAACATGTATAATGCTGACCCCTAAACAGTAGGTGACCTTTGGTGGCTTCTCTTGGTGGTTTGCCCCCGGCAGCTCCGGTGTGGCTTTCTTGTCAGAAGGGCATGCGGGAGTTGCCCTTCCAACTAGTGTTGACCCTGGATTAACAAACCCCAGTTTATTAATAGGGGGGTGTCCCTGGGTTTAGTGGGGAACCATCACGTTTGGAGGGGACCACCCCCATAGTTATCTGGGGTTGATTAACTAGGGGTCAACATTACAGGGTTGCCTGAAGGATGCCGCGTTCGCCACGTTGTTCACATCAGAAAAACAAAAATACTATTTATCTTGGGGATGCTCACCATGTTCTTCACCTCAGACAACAAAAGAAAGTTCATGGAACCTGGTCAACGCTGCGAGTGCCGAGCTCGGTCAAACTCTGTGTTCTCGTTTAGCCGACACGCACAACTCAATATAGGGGTGCGTGAATTTAAGAATCCCAAAAGTTCAATCTGAGAGAACTTGGGTCCAGCCACTAAAGGAAACCAACTCTCAACTGATCAACATGAAACCCAGAAATCTAGGTGTATCTTGGAGGGAACTCTACTGGAGGACCCAGTGGAGATGGTGCCTGCAACATGTCCCTTGACATCAACCCTGAAACCGACAAACAAGCGACGCACCCATTGTTGCTCACCCTTGGGTGGAAAGCGACGAAAAACACAACATGTCACCGGCATATCTTGGCAACCAACGCCCCCCCCTTTCGGTGTTGTTATCCAAACATCACCAACTGGATATTGTTTGACCGCCCACCTCAGGTCTGCAGGTCGGTAGGTCGGTATGGGAAGACGGTTGGTTGTTCCTGGCCTTTTGAGCTTTCAGAGATTTAATTTAAGGAATAATCTAAAGGTCTATCTGATATTTCAACGTGGGAAACCTTGCGGGGCCATTGATCCCCCCGTTTTTCTACCGCCCTCACTGGAAGCCTTGTCACAGAAAATGCCCAGCACTAGGTGAAACTCGCTGCTCATACTGGAAGTGAGGCTCCAAATGGTTAATGATATGTCATTGCTTGGCCCGATACGTGGGTATGTGTGTGTGTCGGCAATGATTTTACTTTTGGTTGCCCTTTAAACCAACCTAAAAAACAAAGTCAAAAAACAACACAACCCATATGTACGCGCGGTCCCTCCCGAAGCAGCGCAGACGAGAAAATGCAAGGCAGACGAGCGGCTCTCCGCACTGGCTGGCCGACAGGCAAACGTTGCAGTTGTTCCCGCACTGAACCTCGAATCCGAACCAGGGGCTTGCCTTTGGCCCCTTGACTAAAAAAGTGCAGAACCCTGCCCACAAAAACTGTTGAAGTCTAGTCATTCAACAGGTGCACTAAACTCGAAAAGGATAGTTCCTTTGTGCTTTCCCTTCAAACAAACAAACCGAACAAGGGCACCCTCATTAAGCATTTGAAGCTGACAACATGTTGGGTAGACGGGGGGGTTTTGCCCGGACCCGCAATGTCATTTGACGGGACTGAAAAAGGGCAATGTGGTTTTGCACTGGTTTTTGCAGTGCGTTCTAGAATTCCCTGAGTTGACAAGCCACAGATCATGTTGAAAATCCGCGTACTCCGACACGCAGGTAAGAGTACGCGCGGCTGACAGGCGCAAGGGATTGCGGAGTTTCACGTTTCTGCTTGGGGTCGAAAAACTAGCCAAGACCTATCTTTGAAAGCGTCGTGGGTTAATGCGGTCAGTAATGTGGCCCAGGTATTGTTTGAATGCCTGAACTAGAGGCTGCAGACCGGGCTTCGCGTGGAAAAACTGGGCGGCAATCACTGAAATGTGCGCTTTGCGCACTGGACGGCCGCAAAGCTGACCTGAGCGTCTATAAGCTGTTTTTTCAGCGTGGCACTCAGGCTCTCTGCTTTTTGGTCGCCACCTACAAAGCGGACCTTGCTAGAAGAGGCCTTGAGGCAAGGCTTTCCAGACTTGCCGGCCTGCGCTGCGGCAAGTGCCTTGTAGGCAAAGAATAAGCTGGTGTTTCCTGACTGAGGGAGTGCTTGGCCGGCAGAGACAAGCACCCAAGCAACTTGTACGCAGCTTGGAGGCCAGTCCCGTCGCTTCCTATGACGTGCTTTTGAGAGTTGGCCTTTGACTTGATCCATCCTTTGACCTCCTCGGCAGGCTCTGGCCTTCCGGGAAAACCCTACCGGCAAGAACGCACTGAGCCGCAAGCAAGGAGAAGCAGTAGTGCGCGGAAGTAGGGGCCCGACGAAGCAAATGTGCTTGCGGAACGCAGGTCCAGACAGCGCACAAGGGCACCAGATGAGGCCCAAGACAGCAAACCGCAACGGGTACCTATCTTCAAGCAAGGATGTTCGCCCTGCAAAGTCCAAGAAATTGTCCGCGCCTGGCAGGCACTGAGCGAAGTGAAGGTCGTCCAAGTAGGGCAAAGGAAACGCGAAAAAGCAGGACAGATCCTGAAGCGAAGCAGGCGCAGACGAAAAGCCAGCAAGACGAAGCAAGATCACAAAGGAGAGAGCAAGAGACAAGGCAGAGACAGCATGAGGCTAACGGCTGCCGGGAAGCACAGAGAGGTACGTGAGCCGAACGGAACCACCCCCCCCCAGACCCCCCCAACCCCAGACCAGACAGTGTGGGCCTGGGCAAACCTCCCCGCCTACCCAACATGTTGACAGGGCTGTACGCCCATGGCTTGCCCTGCGTTTCACAATGGACGTCTTTCAGGTCACTTTTGAACTACGACAGGCTTTCGGCCCAGGATACCCAGACTGTGCATCCGCTCTTTACCCGCACCCCTTACCTATGTTGCAGGGGTTGCCATGTCCGTCAGCGCTTTTCGAGCGCAGTGTGTACACACTGGATCAATACCATCCTGGATGGTGTGAGATCGCTCAGCAGTCAGATGGTAGCCAATGTGTGGCAGCAGTGACATTGAATTCCTTTCGTGGCTGGGTTGACTGGACAGTGCTACTGACTTGGAGCATGCTTGAAAGCATGTAGGGGCACAGATTTCTCGCCCTGGTCTGGGCTTGCTGGCTGCAATGGTGGTGCTGTCCAAAAGGCTGGTGGATCGTTTGCCTTTCAGCATGCCTCTGCATGAAGCTTTGGGTGCTTGGCTAGATCTGGTGCCAGCGACAGGCCCAGCAGTGCTGAGTGAGACTCCGGGCCATGTTCAGCAAGCCTGCTCTGATTGCACAGGAGCCTGCAGGACTCACCGCCGATGTGGTTGGAACGCGATTGCGCAAGCTGGGCAATGCAAAAGCTGGGCAGAACAGATGCCAGCAAATGCGACCAGTGGACCCATTGGCTGCTGTCTACATCAAAACAAATCCAGGCCTCAAGGGCATTCTTGATGCTTGTACATTGTACCAAGAATTTGTGTCGGACAAAATCCTTCCTGCGGGCATTTGTTGATCAGGGTTGGCTGTACGCTTAAAGTGTGCCTCAGCATCTTGATGCGAAAAAGCGCGGGAGAGGGAAATCGGGGCGGGCGGTGATCGTTATTTCCCCCCCACGCTCCCGTCAATCCCCCCCAAGATAACAATGTTGTGTCAACCCCCATTGTTTGTAGTTGCGGCAGCCCAGAAGTAAGTACGCATTAAAGCGCAGGGCAAACCATGGGCGTTGACCCAACATGTTGTTCACCATCAACAACATGGAATTGGATTTGTCTGCCCCAAAGGGCGTCTTCCGTTTGGTCCCTTCAGAACTGATTTCCTTTTGGTGCCCCGGTGAACAACCCAAAACAGGGCACCTCAAATAGAGACATGCACATTTGGGCTTTCCCGTTCTGGTGGTTTCTGCTTTTGGATTCGGGAGCTTCTCATAACGGTCTTCAAAAAGGTACTTAAAAGGAATTCCAAACGCCGAGCGTCGCCATTTGACGGAGTCCCGACTTTGCGACGCACCCGTTTCCGTCTCAGCGACACCCCTTCGGCCACCAAGCGCGTCACTTCCCGGCGCGAGCGCATCTGGTTTTGGGATCCGGAAAGGACACCGGTCGAACCTTTGCAACTCGTGGCAGGGGCTTTCACAAAATAGGCTCTTGTTTGGCACGCCCCCCCCCCCCCCCCCGGGCCCCCGCCAAAAAATGAATGGAAACACCGAAAAACCGAAAGAACAAAGTGAATCGAAACACCGAAAAACCGAAGAACAAAATCCGAAGGCCTAAGGTCTCATTTGTAAGAACATGATGGCCAGTTTCCCCGCCTAGAGATAAGGGTGTGTCTCAAATGGGGGGTTGTCCCTTTGGTTTCCCTCTAAAACCAACCCAAAACAACGCCCTCTCAAAAGCGGACTCAGTTGATAAAGGCATCTGAAGAAATCCTGAAATTGCTTGTTGAAAGCAAAACTGGCATGTTCGAAACCGGTGTCACAAGTGAAGGAGTTGTGGTCTCTGGCGAAGGAAGGCAGGAGCGCCCAATGCCAAGTTTCTACCCTTCTGGTTTCGGCATTGATTTCTCCCTTCCCCCCCCTGCCCTGCCCCTCTTCTAATTTTGGCCGACACTTGGTCTCTTTGCTTTGCAACCACCTTCTTTGGGCGTGGGTTTTAGGGTTCAGGCTTAATTAGCCACTTCGCAACCGAGGGTGCGGTGAAAGAGGGCCGTTGGTCGAAAATCAGGTCCTTGCTGCGCCGGCTGATTGCTACCAGTTAGACAAACCCCATTCTCATCTCCCCAAGCGGCGCAGTTCCGCGCAGTGAGATTCGTGCCGTTGATGTAGTACCCGTTCGGGCAGTCGTCACCCTTGGTGGCTCAGGGCTGAAGTTCCAGCTTATAACCCGGTCTGTCTTTTTTTGGGAGTAGTGTTCTATGAATCAACCCCAGTTTATTGATATGGGGGTGTTCCCCTCCAATAGTGATGATTCCCCACTAAAACCACGGACACCCCCCTATTCATAAACTGGAGTTGATTAACATGAAGTCAACATCCCTTTTTGCAGGAAAACCAAAAGGAAAACCACAAAACTATTGGGCGGGCCAAAAACAGACGACCCATGTTCCTACAAGCCATGGGAGATTTTGTCCATCTCTATGGACAATGGACTTCGGGATACTTTGACAGAACCTTGAAGCTAGAATACAGGAGTCCTTTTAGAAATACGTATCTAAAACATAACTTACTGGAGGGTGAAAAGAGGGCATGAGTTCAAGAAGCAGGCTCCAGGACAAGATTCTAGAATAAGCTAGCCAACGCCCTGGTATTTGGTTGACAGTTGGCTAATGTCCTGTGCTATCAGGGCCAAAGTCATTAAAATTGCTTTGTGGCACGATTAACCCCAATTGCTGCAAGTCTTGATCATAATAGGGCAATGGTGCTTGCAATCATTCAACCCCTCTTTTAATCTGCTGACCAGGATTAATGATCCCCTGGCTGACTCGAAACGGGTTGTGCCAGTTCAGAGAGAAATCTCGGAGGAAGAACATTTGGCGGTGGCTCAAAGAAGTGGATAAACACAAATAATAAAAACACAAACAATAAAATAAAACACAAACAATTAAAAAAAAACACAAACAATTAAAAAACACAAACCAAAAAACACAAACAATAAAAAGCCAATTTGTGGGCCCGTTTGGATGGACACAAACAATTAAAAACCCGTGGTTAACTTTAGCTCTTGAATTCTGAGCCACGCCCATGGGCCAGAACTGGAAGAAACAAATGCGGATACGCGCGCCCCCCCCCCTGGCGAAAGGAAGAAACAAAAACTTTTTTTTTTCCGGGTAGTGAAATCGATTCCTTGGAAAACCAACAGGGGACAATTTTTGATCTAGACTCAAAGAAATGGAAGTGAAGCCTTCGACTCGCGTTCGACTCCACTCCTGACACGCCGAGTCGCACAGGTGATGGCACCCTTCTTGGTCACCGGCGCCAAGTACCGCGCGTCCTGCGAGCGTTCTCCAGCTGGGGCCAGCAGCTTGACGACTTGAGCTTCGGAACTCGAGATGCCTCCTTAGGTGCTCCTGATTTGAGAGGTTAGAATAAGTTGGTACCCAACTTTTTTTTATGTAGTCTGTTTTAGTAGGGGGTTCCCCTCCCAGCCAAAAAAGTTGGTAAAAGGGCACTACTGGGGAGCTACTGCGGGGCCCTAGTCTCTGAACTGATGGAATTCCCCGCTTCGGAAAGCACCCTGAGTAGCATATGGGCCTCCAGATTAATGCAAGGTTTGCACTCTGCACCTGAATATTGCGCCGAGGGGAACAAGTCAAACAAACCTCGTGATTGTCCGCCAAAGTTCCGCGGTGTGCAGTTGGGTCACTTGACGTTTTTCGGGCGGGAGCCACCTCCCAGTGGACTCCCTTGTAAAAATCCTAAACCTCATGATCAGGGATGCAAAAACCGTGGAGCTCTCAGATGCCCAGTGGCCATGGGAAAAAAAGGGCATCCCTTTTTGCTTGGTTGAGTTTAAAGGGGAATCCTTTCCAAAAAGAAGGAAAAAAGGGCGCCACTGGCTTCCGGCTCCGACGGAATTTCATTCCTCTCCTTGCACTCTGTGCAGGTGTCAAAGCGAGCGCACTTCCCGCAGGAGAGGGAGCACTCCGCACAGAGCCCGGTGTCTGCCAGCGGCGCTCGCTGTACCCCGAGTCAGGCCCCGAACATAATGTTGACCCTGGATCAATAGACCCCAGTGTATTAATATGGAGGTGTTCCCCTCCAAAAGTGATAAATCCCCACTAAAACCAGGGACACCCCCATATCAGTAAACTGGGGTTTATCAATCCGGGGTTAACATTAGAGGCTCATGTGTATGGCTGGCCCAGTGCAGGCGGTTTGCAGATCCGAAAAAGAGTCAAGTTGGCCCTTCCCTCAAAAGAAGGTCACTGTGCGCTTTGACAAACTGAGTTACAATCCCTTTCTTGGAAGAAACGCCAAGCCTTTCGGGACAAATCCGGAAGTGAACGAAGAATTTTACCACCCCCAAACCACCCCCAGGCATTCACTGCGGAACATACCCTCTCGCGCAGTGGCTGTATACCCCCGAACCCCCTTTGGGGAGCTTCGCTTTGGGGTTTAAACAGTCTGACAGGAATGGCAAACAGAAGAGCCAAGGCCCCGAGGATGTCGGTCAAGGGACGCCTACCCCTACATACCACATAGGTTGGTACCAAAGCGAAACTCATTGTTGAGTCGCATCCCCAAAGGCGGAAGAAACTCGAGGGTGGGCTCCGCTTCAAGTCTCAAGGGCTTGAAGAAAGCAGCCCTGCAGTGTCCTTCTGTCACGCTTGAACATGGACATGCACACGATGGCGGCCCCCTTTTTGATACAGGGGATGGTGCCCATCCCTGGCACTTCTTCGGTGAAAGAAAACTTCCACCACCACCACCGCCACCACCGCAGTTCAGGACAATTAAGCACGAGTTGGTGCCCACTTCCCAGCAACAGAAGCAATCAACAATCGGATTTCATCTAGACATGCAGCCAGCAACGGTACAACTACATCCCCTGACAGGATGCCCTTGTCCGGTCAGAAATTCGATGTCGCATGCGCCTTTCTTGCCGTAGTAGCTGTCGGGGCATGTGCTGACGCAAGGGCTCCTTGCAGCTCACGTGAGGCATACCAAAATGCGTGGACACGGTTGCGCGGCAAAGAACCCGTTTCTGCGTAGCACAACAAGTGGTCCTCCAGTAGAGAGGCTAGAATAAGGGCACCAACTTTTTTTTTTCTGTAGTCTGATTTAGTAGGGGAACCGAATCTCCCAACCAAAAAAGGGGTGAGAGGTCGGGCACCCACACCCCGTGAATCTGGGGGCATATCAGAGTCCAGAAGCCCAGAAAGCGATCGGTCGCAAGGAAAAAAGGAAGAGGACCCAAATTTTTGCGCTCGGTGCGATAGAGAATGCGGGAATCAACCCAGGAATTGGTCCCCTTAAAGGGAAAACGCCAGTGGGATGGTTTATCAGGGTCATTCCCTCATTCCCTCCTGAGCACCAGCAAGAATATCAACTCTCTAGCGCTGCGGGTTGATCATTTGCTGCTCGGAGCGCGGGTCCCTTTCATCCTTGAAATATGAGGACATTAACTTAACACCCCTGAAAGAAAAAACAAACGAAGTGAATTATGCAACTACCACAAATATGACAGCCTGAAATGGGCGGCTGTTTGCACCCGCGCCTACGCGCGACGCGCGTATGCCAAGCCTTCATGACTGCAAGGGACGCCTACCATATCTTGTGCTTTTGTGGCAACATTGGGTTATTTGTTCAAAGGGAGATGCAATGCTGTTTCCCCGGCTGAAAGCTACGGGGTTGAAACGCCCAAAGAAGCTCTGGGGTGGGTTGTGGAAGGGTTTCAGAGGGTTCTCGGGCTGGTGGGGATACCAACGCGCGCCTCATTGCGCCGTACTGGCATGTTCTTGCCTACGCGGACGACTACGCAATCCTCCTTCGTTGCCCGCTGGGCTCTTTTCAGCCTAACTGCGATTTTCGATGAAATGCAAGTGTAGTACTTGAGCTGCACCATTTGGACGCAGACTGAAACAGGAGGCTTAACGTGAGCAGCGGCCTTCAAGACTATGGGGAGCCTACGCAGAGCCTACTCGGTTTGATTCAGTTCTGTTTGCAAAAACCGACCGCACTTTCGTAGCTGTTGGAGCTTACCGGCTAACCCGCAGTGCAAATCTCACAGCTACTCTCCCTTGTGTAGCCTCAACCACCACAAAAAACGTGAAAGCTTCAGGCCATTTGCATCCTACTGTGGATGGACAAAATCCTGCAACAAATTGAAATCATGAGAACCCATTGTTTGTTGGTATTTACAGGGGAATCATCATGCCAGGGATTCTGAGGTCCACCCACAGTATGATGTATCATCCCAGGCTTGCCGGGCGTCGCAAGAATGACAACTGTGATGTACTTCCATTTGCTTAAGCCCCCTGGAAAAAATAGAACTATTTCCAGTAGTGATCGATTCCTTTTAAAACCAACCGACAAAAACAACTAATAATAATAAAACACATCTGACACACATGGAAGTGTACATGAAATGCCAACGCGAGCCTGCGCGTTGGAAATGTTGAGTTGCTCACGCGAACATGATGCCGTGCTCTTCTTGAAAATTCGAAAATGGATCAGTGAAAATTGGCTGTGCAAACCAAAACTTTCAGTGAGTCAAACCTACCATTGTTTGAGGGGGTCCATATGTTGCTGGCCCAAGCCTGTGCAAACTGCCTCATGTCGTGGAAAGAAGGTACACTCGCAGAAGAAGCAAACAATCCGTGAGTTGTGGTACAACATTTCATACTGTCAGAACATTTGCAAAGCCATAAACCAAACAGACACAATAGCTTGTACAAAGGTAGGCGGTCATCAAAGTTACGGACACGGACCCTTTTTTGGCCTGCTGCCAAAGCCTCAAAAAAATCAAAGGCGAAAACGCATTTTGCCCTGCAGTGGAGCCATTTTGGCCCTGAGCATCAATGTTCAACTGGCTCTTTGCCTTTGGTCTAGTACTGTCTACCCTGGGTTCAGCAACCTGGCGGATTTGGAAGGTCTTCCGCTCCAATACACACGTCGAAGTGGTTTCTTGGCAGTGAGCCGTCGAACCCTCCAAATGGATTTGGCCCAAGCCGCTTTGCCGGCAGCTCGGTCATGTCAAGGAAGCTCCCAGTCCTGAGCAGGGTTCACCTACCTTCTGTACCGATGGAAGGTCTGCGATTCATTTTCGGCTTATTGTTGCACGCAATTGTTTACTTATCTTACTGTTGTTTGTGCTTTCCCCGCGACCTCTTGCATTTCGCGCAACTCTGGTTGAACCAAGCCCTCATCTCCCTTTGTCGCCCAAAAATGTCCAAAAAGTGACTGTAATTTGGTGGCAAACCAATCATCAAACATCTCGACCGGGATGTTGCGTGGGAGCCCTGCTTGGTGCTTTGGAGCTGCACTTTGGTGGAGGAAACATGTGGTCTTGATCCACTTCCCAGAGCCGGAAAGCCGTCCGGAATACGCAAGGTTCAATGTGGGTTTTTTCATGCTTGACGTGTCAATAAATAACTATAACAAGTATATCATATATCATAGTATCGTGTTATCACACTTCTATGCATCAACAAACAACAAGTAGATTTAAAACAACATTTGATGGAGTACCATGGCTATAAGGCACATGAAGGTTCACGCCATATGTTGCAAACTCGTAAATGGTGTTGCTGGTGTAAATATTACATTATCATTACATGGTACAACTTGTGTTGCAGTCGGTGCTGATGATGCTGAAAAATGGAAAAAACTATGAATTTCATGGGAAACACGGCTAGGTGGGGGCAACGGGCCGATTGTATCGTTTGTGGCGCGAAACATGGTTGGCGTGTGTCAGATAGGGCCTGACGGCACTGAGACGAAGCCATCAAATTCCATCATTGATCAGTCATCTTGCAAAATGATGTGTCTTCATAAACACGTGAAAGCATGTTGAGCAACTGGCTTTCAAGAATCCCAGCAGCCGCCTATAACATGTATGCAGGGGTGTCTATTTTAGGAGACCCCAACATGATGCTGCTTTTGGTTTCCTTTACAACCACTAAAAAGCGGGGTCCCTAGAAAAACACACACACCCATGCAAACATATTGGCAGCTCGGTTCTCAAGCCCAGCGACTTAAAGTGTGGCTGGACTTTTGAAAAAGGCAAGGCAGCCGGCTGGGCGAAAACAACCCAACAAGAGTGCCAACCCATGTAAACACATTGTTTGATTGATTATATATATATATATGTTTTTACTAGTCCCACCGGGGCTTAACCCGGTCAGGTGGCTGGTTGGTTGGTTGGTTGGTCTGTTGGTCGGTTGGTTGGTTGGTTAGTTCACAAATCCCAAACCGGCGCAAAACTCGCGTAACCACACCCCTAAAGCAAGCCTGAAGCTTCTGCAAAAAGGAGCCGCACCCGCAAATCAGCCCCAAGCCACACTCCTGGTGATGCGCCAAACAAACTTCAAACCCCACCGAAAAGGACCCTCCCCCGGAGCATGATTTTACCGTAATCAAAGTCACCCGAAGCACAAGGCAAAGCACGTCCTCGCCACTCTTTGCTGCCGGGCCACTTACAGGACGTACACTTGGTGGCATTCACGCACTCGCGGCAGGTGTCGGGGCAGTCCGTGCATTTGCCCTTGGCAGGCAGAATTTGGTTGGGTGCCAACTGGCCACTGGTGAAGCGAAGATGATGGGCAAGTGATGGCAAGCTCACTTGGCAGAACTCGATTGGGGTGCCAAGTGGGAGTCTGACAAGGGCTGCCTTGCAACTCGCCTTTGGTTGAAAACCACGACACTCAAAAAAAAAGAAGTCTTGCCAAACCTTGGTCCAACCTACAAATGGGTATGTTCTCCAAAATCGGAAACCCCCAAACTGGTGGTGCTGCTTTCATTGAACCAACCTGAAAAGGATGTCCTTGGATGCTCAGTATCTGCGCAAGTGGTCAAGTGGATCCATGAAGCCAAGCCGAAAATTTTGGATTGTTTCCACCAGAAACTTTCGGGATCCCATCAACTCCCCCGCCACCTGGGAGAGGGGGAAGTCACGAGGTCGGCTCGAGAACAACACGAGGGCCTGCTTCTCCGATCTCCGAGCTGGGGATTCTGCCACAAGGTGCCTCAAATGTACGAGGTGTACAGCTTTTTGACCCCGAGTTACCTCGGTTGCGAAATCTGTTCCCCTGCTGAAAGTTTTCGACTTTCAGTGGTTTAATACGGAAAACCCGTTAGTTGGCAAAAGGTTAAAGTCCTAACATCCAAGCAAAATGCACCAAAGTTACGCATGAGCCTGTCAGCTCTGGAAATCGTTTCTAGTCTTCCCCATAAAATGCAAAATGGCTCACCATAAATGGAGATCTCCAGAGGTCGAAATCCCCCTGCCCCCCAATTCCCTTTTTTTCGGAACCCTGTGGGATGTCCCCAAGTAAAGGACCTTCATGGGCTCGTTTTATCGTCCAGGGCGGATGCTTTCGGACGACTTTTTCCAGCTCAGCAGTAGATTTCTCTAGAAACCGGTTTGGAGGTGGCGAATCTGTGGATCCACCCCTGTAGGATATTGAAAGAGTACTAAAAGATTACCACAAAAAGAACCAACCGGGGGAAGAATAGGTGACATCCACAAAAAGCGCATCCTAACCGTATTCTAGAAGGGCATTGTCCCCATCACAAGATGCACTAGTTAGATTCCCAAATGGCTTATCCGGGCAGCCTGCTGATCAGATAGGCTAGAAACCGTGCTTAAAAAGCAAATGACGTGGGGAATTGCACTGCATGACCCAAATATGGAAACGCGTGCGGCTACCGCAAGCTCGCACAGCACCACACCTTGAGAACCCGGCTGCAACCTCCAAACGACCACCTTCCCACCACCCTCCGACCACCTTCCGACCATCTTGGGTGGGCGCCTGGCACGTCCGCAGCCCCCGAGCTTCAGAACTGTTTGGGTACGCGCTGGTTCTCAGGGAATTGACAAAAACCCGAACTGAGCCATCCCACTGGCTGCCTTTGCAGAAGCAGTTCATTCCCACCCGCAAAATTCAAACTCCCCAGAACCCGCAGAAATCTGGAAGCGAACCCTCCCGCACCGTACACACACGCACAGCCCTTCTTGAAGCCAATCAAAACCTGGTACAAAAATGATGAACCCAGAACCATGTAAAGAAGTAGAAAGGCGGCCGCAACTATTTCCGGCTGGGACTGCCCCCTGACTAGCCTTCATCTACCCGAACCGGTTTTGAGCACGTGGCTCACCTCAAATCTCGCAGAGCGAGGCGCCGTCTTTGCGTCCTTGAAGGTTCCCGCGGTGCAGGGGTTCTTGCACTCTCCTTTCTTCAGATCGTAGCCTCGGCTCCGACGATCAGCTCATGCTGCGAGGTGGCCGAAAGAGTTGCGAAGCAACGAGTTGCGAACGAGTTGGAAGTCGAAAGGCCGAAGATAAAAAAAAGACCTTGATGATTTCCGCATACCAGGCATGCGGAAATCAATACTAAGAATTCAGTGGCGTATTCAGTTTTGAGGACAAACTTGCATCTGGGCAAAATCTGCGGCACGAAAACAGAAATAAGGAAGACGCCTAAGGGAACTTCATGGGTGAGTCGATTGGGTGTGTCTGTTTGTAGGGAACCGGTTGGTCTAATTTAAAGGGAAAACAATAGAGAAAACACCGCACTTCTCAGGTCCCAAAAGAAGACACGGCCATTTGCACCAAGCGAGCTGATCAGATGAATCCCTTGTCAGTTTCCTTGGGCCGACCGCCGCGGTTCATGTTGACCCATGAATCAAACCGACATTTTTAGGGAGGGGTTTCCCCTTTCTGTGACGAGCCCCTTCTAATCAAAACCAGGGCTGTGGGAAATGCCCACTTCTGTGATACAAGACAAAGGTCTCCCAAAGACTACCCCGCCATTTCAACCTGGGATTCCCTTGTATCACAGAAGTGGGGATAAAATCCTTGATCCCACAACCCTGATCAAAACGCACTCCCAATCAAAATCCCCCAGGGTGTAGTATGGTTCATGAACAAACGGGTTTAATTAGCTGGGTCCCCCACGATCTTTGTTTTGCACAAGGTGCGTCTGGAAATTGTGTAACCCTCCCCCCCCTTCTGTATGGTTTCTTTAGGTTATAAACACGAACTCATTGGGTTTTTAGCCAGCTCCCAGCCCTTCCCAACTTCCCAACCGCGTCTTTCAGGTCAGCAAACTCATCTTCTGAAACCCTGACTAAACTTGCTGGTTCTCAGCGAATGAGGGAAAAAACAATCCCCAAGATAGTTTCCTTTAAGGGAATCCCCTAAACCGGTTCATTCCCAGCACGCTGGGTCATTCCTACCTATCGCACCAGCAAGTAGCGGGTGCCACAACCAAGCCTACTGCCTGCGCCAGTCTTTCGACCATGGCATGGGGCCCCAGAACGATTGTCTCGGCCGAAAGCTCCGATCCTGTCGATTTGCGATGGCAAATTCAGGGCCGGGAAAAATTAGCATCCGCTTTGGTGTTTGGGAACATTGGATGCTTAGGTCTTCAAATATACAAATCCCCGCTTGCGTGTGTGTTCCTCTGGGGATTCGAACATATGATTGCTATTTAGCATCCAGCATGGTGAAAACAAAACTCCCAGACTTGATGTTCAGAATCCCTCCCACAAACTCCGTGAGCGGAGCTAGTTCCCTTCAATGTGTATTGAATGTAACATGCACCAAGCAACTCCAACCCTTGGGTGTTTGGCCAAGTCAGCAACTTCTTGGTAGCTAGGTCATCACCCACTTATAGCGGATTCTAGGTCCTCCTGATTTGAGAGGTTAGAATAAGGGCACCCACTTTTTGTCGGTCTATTTTAGGATCGGGGAACCCTCCCCCGATAAGAACCTGGCAGAGGAACCCATGTCACGCCAGCAAGGCGAAGGCCCCAAACCACTAGGTCCTCCAGCAGAGAAGTGAAAATAAGTTGCTACCCTATTTTTTTCCTGTAGTCTATTTTAGGATCGGGGAACCGAATCTTTTAACCAAAGGGGGGAGAAGGGCACCTGGCTGGGGGACCTGGGGATCATAACCCAGGTGCCCAACCACTTAAACCACCTCGCTCGGGTGCCGATCCGACTGCTTCGCCCGAGTCGCCCTCCTCGCACTGCACGGGGGTGGAGACCACTTCGCCACCCTGCGAAGCCACTCTTGGGAGGTTCTCACCCCAAATGGCTCGACTTCATCCCCTCAAGTGGAAGCATTGGGAGTTGCTTTGGCCGGGCTGTTCAAAATGGAGGCTTGGCCATACTCCCTATATGGGAAGCCCAAAAGGGGCTCCCTGCGTAACCGAGGGTAAGGATTAAGGATTACCTTTGAACAGCCCAGCGTGAGGGACAGCAAAAAATGGTTGACACATGTTATGGCAGTGTTCCAGGTCAAATGGCCCATGCCTTCCACATCGATCACCTTTCGCCGTTTTTGGATAGAGACTTCCCAACTGGCCAGTTGCGCGACAAAGATCTAGGAATCTTGAGTGGATTGGTCCGAAGAGGTTTAGACTTCTTCCTTTCTAATGATCTGATCCTCCCCCGAAAGTTGGCCAAGAACTTGGGAGGCCTTTCGACCATGGCTTCGTGAACCTGGAGGGACTCGGTGACCTTCCTTCGCCCCCCTTCCAATCGAGGGATGCTTTCCTCCCAGAAAGCCACCGAACACCGAGGTGGCTGAAAACCGTGTCCCCCATAACAAAAGCGACCCCCAAAAATCCCCGTGGTACATGCGGAAACCTTCTGCAAAACGGCTGATGCACGGCGTGCTCAAGATATTGGGTTGCCTCTGTGCAGCCGAGGAATCTGTTGAAGAGCGGATGTTTCCCTCCCCTCGTCCCGAGCCAGCTCCCAGATCGAAAGCCAGGGAGCCATGTGCCGTGAGTGAAGCCCCAAATTGGCCAAGCTTTGGTTCAAACAATCCAGGAAGGGGTCCCACCCAAAATCTGTACCAGTATATATGTATATGAAATACACATCATGTTCTCCCCACGTCTTCCCCAAATTAGGCCAAGAAGCACCCGCATGGCAGTAGTACGAAACTCCTTGTTCCCGAAAACGCCATCTTCGCGGGAAAGCATACTATTCATGACCTTCATCGTGGGGCGATTTTCACAATATTCATCGCGCAAGTATTACGCAAAGTACAACTCCGCAGTCCCGCGTCGAAAGTCGCAACTGGTCAGTACGAAAGTAGCACATGAAGTAAATTTGGCCAGCCCCAGCTCAAAAGCGCTAGCTGTAACTGTTCAGTTCCAAAGTAGCACGCAAAGTGCACTTCCGCAGCCCCAGCTCGAAAGCCGTGCTTCAGCGCAGGTCCATCAACTTTCGCTTGCTTTCTGCTTGGGGCGGGTTGCCTTTGCAGCAACGTATCTTTTTGCAGCAATCCTCAGGCCGCACTTTCCTCTGACCAACTTTAGTCTGTGTGCATTCTGCGCGCACTGCCGGCAATTACACATTGTCAACATTCCATCAAACCACCCTTACACAGAACTTTCGCGAGAAAGAAATGACTTCTGCGACCTCGCGAAGCTTGCGCGGAGGGCAACACTAAGACCAGCAAAGTCTTCCCCTTCATACCTGAATACAAGGAACTTCCGGACGACTTTTACATACATGTACATTAAGTTTGCCACCCATTCTGGCTGAACACGCCGCCTCTAGCCCCCTCCATCGCCTGCGTTAAATGGAAACCCACCCCACACCAACTAGCAACTAAAAGCCTCAGCGACCGCATGGCTGAGAGGTTGGAGGCCTCCCAAGTTTTTTGGCCATCTGGAGCTCTTGGTACCACGGGCAAGTGAGCCGGGATGAGCCAGGTTCACGGAGGATACATCATGGGTGAACACCTCCCCTCTGGCCCCCAACTAGTGGGTTAAATGAAAACGCAACCACTAAACCACCTAAAAACACTCAAACACCTGACCCATGGCTTTGCCACCCATTCTTTCGCCACTTCTCCCCGCACGCCTTGAGGCCGGGGCTGCACAGAAGAGCGCCGTCCGCGCAAATCTCGCAACTGCCGCCGAGGCCGTTCTTGCCCACCTTGGGGTAGTAGCCTCGGCTTTTTTGGCACCCCCCCAACAGACCCCCCCCGGTGGTCACGGGGGAAAGAGCGCTTTCTCAGTTGTTGGTTGGCTTTAAGGGGAAACCACCCCGAGAAAAAATAAGAAAAAACAAAAAAGGAAAAAGGGCGCTGGGCAATTCTGAGGATGTCACTCGCGAGGACCAGGGTTGGTTGCTAATGTTGTTCCGTTGACAGCGGATGCAAGGGGAGTCTTTTCGCAAGGGGTTGACGAAATTCTCGGCTTTCTGGTTATCCAAGCAGCTTGCAAGCCTCTCGCCTTGACGCCCAAATTTTCATGCAATATGTTTGTGCCCTACCATTGCCAGGCAGCCGCAGTGATTCTTTGGTCGAAAACTTGCAATGGAGTATGACCCGTAAAATTCGGCCCAACCCTTGCCACTAAAGGATAGTGTGATTGAGAGTAGACCCCCTCAGACCGAGCACGCTGGCAACATTCAGATTAATTGTTGGCAATCCATCACTGTCCAGTGCTCAGGGACGCTTTTGGGAAGGAAAGGTCAAACCCAAGGGCAAATAGCAATTCGGGCCACATACACCAGTGGACATGTCACGTAAATATATGAACATGTGTGGACAACGATTATACCTACAAGTCTATATATATATATATATGTATACACACATATGTGCATGATGAATGGTGTGCGAATACGCAGACATGTACACCCTTATGTAGAGCTAAGAATTATGCACATAGCCGTGAACAACCGTTGATTTTTGCCCATATGTGTTTTCTGTCACGCCCAGCCGCCGTCCGGGCAGGAAGACAAGCAGGTGCCGTTCAGCAGGAGCTTGGTGTTCCTTGCGCAAAAAGCCACTTGCAACATGGCCTCAAACAGGTCAATTAGACTGACTTTAACCAAGCATGCGGGTTATATGGCTGTGGGTGAAAACTCAGGAAACCCCTAGTGAACATCAAAATAGGTGGTACATGAGTGTTCATCCGCCCCAAAATGGAGGTATAGGTTATGACCCATGGCCATATCTGAGTCAGGCAGCTAGCTCGGCAAGTGAAGTCCCACTTACCCCTCCCGAGCGCTTGCAAAGGTTGCGGGCACCAGGCACCTTCGGTAAGCGCGGCCATGGGCGGATGGGATTTCTCTAGGTGAAAGATGGCTCCCAAAGAAACTTGAAAACTCTGACTGACAATTCCATAGGTCAAACAGCTCAAAGAACCTGAAAACTCACTCATTTCCACATGTGGGTGAAGTACTAAGGCAGAAGTGAACTTACAAACATGCTTCTCCAATGATGGCAGGTGGGTTAAGAGTACCAAACATACTGATTCCGACCCTTGTAGTCTTATACGACCAACAAAAATAAGGCCCGCCCGCCCCTCCCCCCCCCCTCCCCCCCGCCCAAAACAAAAAACAAGTTCCCTTTGAAGCAATCTTTTTCGAAGAATGGCTCAACTCTGGTTGATACGCCCAAGACACTATCTTCAGATTCTGCTTCCTGTTCGGCCTACAAAATCCGCCGACCCTCTGCCTCCCGTCCCAGCCTCCTGCAGAGGGGACCGGCGTGGGATGCAACTGGAAGTGATTGGAATCAATCATAGTCCCTCAGGGACACGCCCGAACGCACGAAAAGTGGATTTCTAGGACCGGTCCCGGGACCGGTCCCGCTTGTAGTCAGCCAAAAGCGGTCCTGGGACCGGTCCCGGGAATGCTCCCAGGACCAGTCCAGGACCGGTCCTGGGACTGGTCCCAGGACCTGGGACCGGTCTGGGACCGGTCCTGGGACCGGTCCTGGGACTGGTCCCGGCCAGGACCGCTTTCAGGACTGAAGCCGGTGCCGGGATGGAGTCCTGCCACCTCAAACCGCTCACGCCTTTCCTGGCACCCGTGTTTCAGGACACTGCGCCAGACTGGGACCAGCCTGTCCCGGTCCCTGCCGGCGACCGGTCCAGGGCAACTTCGGGAGGGCCAGCTTCAGGGCGCTCCCGGGCCAACTCGAAGTGACTTGGGCGCAAGCCGGCCCAAGCGGTAATTAACGGACTAGCTGCCATATTTCTGACTTTTCCGTTAATCCTTGTTTGTGGTCGTAGAGGATCTTATAAGTGGTCCCTGGGTTTGCGGACGTGTTCCAGGACCGGTCCTTGTGACTTTTCCCGTAATGCGCCGAGGGTCGGCGGCAGCAGGCGGGAGCCTGGTTAATATAAACACATCTTGAAGGAACCCAAGAAAAGTGGGGGATGTTTTCCCGCCCTGAGCGAAAAGGTCTAGGGGAGAATTTGGGGAGAAGTTTGGAAAAGCCAGGGTGTTGGTGGGCGAAATCGGTCAAAGACCAGCCTCAAAGGAAACCACAAGGCATGGTTTTTCTCGGGGTCATTCCCTCATTCCCGTCTATTCGGTCCAAGACGAGCCAAATCTCAGCTTGCTCCCAATTGGTGTTTGGATTGGTGGTTTGGTGGCTAAGGCGGGCTTCCCATCTACGAACCAGGGTTCAAATCCAAATCCAAACCGCTCCAAACCGCCACTAAGGGGCAACCTGAGAAATCCCGCTGCCAAAAACAAAAAAACTTGGCTGCCCTCAGATCCCCGCTAAAAGTAACTCTTGGTGGGTTAAATGGAAACTACCACTAAACACTAAAAGGATCTAAAAAGCTACCCTCCCCCCCAGGCTAACTTGGACGCTCTCAGGACCCCTTTGGAAGACATGGTTCCATGTGCAGCCTGGGAGCCACAAAAAAAAGGAGAAAAAACGTGGCGACGAGGCGCGCGCACACCAAGCACTTCTCGTGCGTGACGCACTCCTGGCAGTCGTCCACGCACTTCTCGCAGGTGCCACCGATCCTCGGGCGAGGCGAAAGTTGAAAGCCCCTCCGTCCAGATTGTTTTTGTTTGTTCAAAGTTTATTCGGAGGAGTATGACTTGAATGGTAAATTTATCAAAGGTAAACAATGGCTGACCTGAATCAGGAGTCCCCCCCAATGTCCCCGCCACCGGAAACTATCTACCGGATCTGCCGCAAGCATCCGTTCTGCCTCCAAAAAGGCCCGCCTCTTGTGCGATCGCGTTGCGAGGAAACCACGGTTGCTTTCTGCTCCCCTGCTAAAGGTTTAACTTTTAGTGGTTTAATGGAAAACCCGTTAGTTGGCAAAAAGTTAAAGTCCTAACATCCAAGCAAAATGCACCTAAGAAACCACGACAAAGCTTCTTTTTTTTTGGAGGCGATTCTTATTCTTGCAAACGCGCCTGTTATTTCGTCATCCCAGGCATATTCGCACAAGACGTTGTGTGCTTTGTCGCCCCGCAACAAGGCTTGCACAGAGCCAAGAAACGTGTCCAAGTTTTGTTGTGAGGTCGGGTCAGGCGATTTTCTCTCGCCTCCTCGGACCCCTCTCGGACCAATTCCGAGCCGCAGAAAGCCGTCGACGCCCAGAATGGAGGAGGGCCTGGCGAAGCGGACGGACTGACCTCACGGACTGGTTTTGGTTTTGCCCCGCGTGGATTGGCCAAAACGAAGTCCTGAGACTTTTCTTCACCACCAACCATGGCTGCTTTCTGCTCCCCTGCTAAAAGTTTAACTTTTAGCGGTTTAATTCGGAAAACCCAAATTCGTTGGCAAAAAGCTATTCAGTCCTGACATCCCTTGGCAAAATGCACCAAAGAAACATGGTCTTCTTCAAAAAAGTGACTCGAAAGTCCAGGAACTCAGGGAAGTGAGCCAAATTTGTGTCTGAGCTTCTTCTTGCTGGTTGCGTTTCCAGGGCTCCCATTGAAAGACCACCCCTTTGCTCTAAGCTGACCCGCCCAGAACAGTTGTTGGACCACCTAATCCAAATACCCCTGTTTCCTCGGGTATACAGGCCATGGTCAAAACTCCCCATGTGACCATGGCTCCTTCGACTAAGACTGAACAAGTGGGACCGGTGATCAATCTGCAGGCATGCTCCAACCCGATCGGACCAGAAAGTATCGGCAGCGGAAGCTCTTCGCCAGTGTACCCTCCGGTCATGAGGCCAACGGCGCAGTTGCTGCTGTGGATGGACGAAATCCGTTCGCACCACCGAAATGAAACCATGGCTGAAACCTTTGCTGTTGGTGTTTATAGGGGAAGAAGCATTTGCGGGTTTCTTAGGTGGTGCGAAATGGATTTTGCCCATCCAGCGTACAGGCAGGCTTTTGGTCATGAACTCAAGGAGGCCCAGTAGCTCAGAACCCGCCCGTGCCTGATTCACGCTCGATTATTTTCATTGAAGCTCCGAGAACGTGGACACTTTTTGCAGGCCCAAGCCGCAAGAAGCTCCGCCTCTATGGGCCAAAAATAATACGGCAATAATAATGAAAGCGAGTGCACCGAAATGCCTCAGGATCCTGTGAGAAAAATGCTTGCAATGTTGTGGCCGCATATGAGCTACCGTCAAAATCACGTGTCTCCGACAAGGCTTTTGTCGTTTTTGGCGGGGGCCCTATCGTTTTGCGAGGCTTTCTGCAAACTTGAGATACCAACGCCTCGTTACTAAAGTGATCTACGCATATTTTGACTCATCTATACATGTATATATATCTATGGCTGTGGCTCAAAATTAACCAGGAGGGGCAAACCGCAGGTGTTGGTTTCCATGTCTCCACTTACCGATCGGGCAAGCCATTTTATTTTGGCATTCCGGTTTTTTGAATTCGCCACAGCCATATATATATTTGTTTATATCAACTAGATCCAATCCGCGAGGTTCGGCCGGAACCCCCGAACCCCCGAACCGAACGTCCGAGCCTCCTGAACTGACCATCTGGGCACGTGCTGACGCACTTGCCCTCGGTCAAGTACCTCAACCGGCGGAACAGGGCTGGGCAAATGGGTTCGTCATGAGTTGGGGGACCCACAAAAAAATTGCGATTGTCTCTTGAAACAAAGGACCCTGAAAAAACGGACAAGCCCAAATGTTGTTCAAACATAAGGGGAACCAAGAGGAGGCCGAGAAAACACTTGTACATATGGCTAAAGCAGGTGTTGGCAGGCCGGTTCACAGTGGGTCAAAGGGTTCAAGGTCCAGCCAAACATTGCCTCATGGCCATAAGCCCTACCGAGGAAAAAAAAAAAAACAAGTAAACTTGCAGATGCGGCGAGAGTTCTATCGACGCGGACTCGCGCACTTCTCGGGGGTGGATCCAGGAAATCGAACACGTGCCCGAATCGCCCGAGAAATCTGCGCTGGTGAGGATGTTCAAATTGAACTGCTGGGAAATTCCCGCGTTTCGATTGCCCAATCTGGCGGCCATTTTCAGTACCCCCGACATCCGGGGAAAAAGGGGGAGTTGGCGCCGATAGTTTAATCTTTTGGGATCTTAGGGGTGTGTCTTCGTTTGAGGCTCGGTACCTTTTTTTTGGGTTGTTAAAGGGAAAAACACCTCAAGGTGACAAGCCCATAGAGTGTGACAAAATAATATGACCCTTTTTGCTCTTCTTTGCAGGCAACACGGCATGGCAACCCCACATCTACAGATGCACCAACTTTGGGAAAGGAAGCGGTGAATTTTTGGGGGTCGCAAACCCGCCAGTGGGTTGGATTAGTTTCGGAATTTGAATTACCGGCTCCTCTTGAAAGTGGCTTGATGTTCTTTGCCTCCTCTCCGTGTCCCAAGACAGGACTCCATTTGAGCGGGATATGTTCCGCTGTGGAGGGGGACGTGTTTCAGGGATGCCTAGGCATACGACATCCGAAAGCAAAGATGGATACAGGTGCTAAAGCGGGCCCTGGGAGCTTTTTGAAGTAAAACAGGTAGTCGTTTGGGCACCCCTATTTGCAACGGGAAGAACGAGTTGGTGCCCAGAAAAGGACCGAGCCCAAAGACCATTTTTAAACGTGCTGGTTCTCAGGGAATGAGAAATGGAATGACCCCTTTTTGCTATCCTCCATGGCTCCTAAATTTCCCAACACCCTGGGTCATTCCCTACTGAGCACCAGCAAGAAAAAGAGGCGCTGGGTTCGTGGGCTTTTATTGAACCATCGCCGCTTTTGAAGGTTCCAAAAAGGCAAAAAAAAAAAAAAAACTGACTGAGTTCCTTGCCCTCAGAAAAGTGACAATCCTTGAGTGGGTTAAGTTCGGAAACGACTGGACCAACTACGAAGTGAAACCGGATGGCTGGGAGCGACCCAGCCTGGCAAAAAAAAGCAAGCCGCCGGCCCGTCAACCAAAATCGGAAGAAGAAAAAAAGAAGAAGAAAAACGCTCCCTGCGCCCCGAGTCCGAGGGGCTTGTTGTCGCCCCGGCATTCCGTGCCAACTTGCGGGCTGAGGCAGGCGTAGAACTCGTAGGGGCACTTCACACACTCCCGGCCTGGCCGCGGCGCCGCGGCGCCGAGGCGGGCCTATGGGCCTATGGGCCTATGGGCCTATGGCCTATGGGCCCAGCCGGAGGCCGCGGGTCTTCTCGAAAAAGAATTCCACGAGAGTCCAGGGCCCCCTAAGGAACCCTAAGGGACCAAGGACTAAGAGACCCCCTCAGGACCCGAAGAAACCCCTTGGGACCCCAAATCCCAAGAGGGGATCGATGGCCGGTTGCCATTGGCTCCTTCCCCATGGGTCTTGGCATTTGGGGGGTCCACCACATGAGCATATAATATTCACCGGTCGCCGGTCTTCCATTTCAACACACGGCAAACATTGCGGAACATTTAGACATCAACCCTCACCATTTGTATCCTTTTTGGCGGATCCGTTGAAACCATTCAAAATCAACAACACATACTATGTCTGATAGCATCCCCATGTCTACCGCACCCTGTAGAACAATCCAACTGTTTTCCTGACATGAGATGACAACTCAGTGGGTATTTTCATGAGCCCTACAAGCCCCAAAGACGCTCCCCCACCTTCAAGGCCTCAAACAAGGCCTCATGTGGCCTGATGAAACAGACACGTGTAGAATATGCTCTTTTTTTTGCAAACCTAGACAGGGTTCAGGAGCCTACCGTGAAAGGGTTGCTTATGGACCCATTTCCAGGGTTGACAGAACCGCTCCTTTCGTGACACATTTCCGTAGGCGAATGACCGAACCCCGCCAACACAGTCGGGCGCTGAACCTGATGGGTCAAAGGCACTGCGAACAAAGGCAATGGGAACCCAAGGACGCCACGCTACATCCCTCGGAGCGTGGCAATAAACAGACCCATAGCAAAGGTGATAAGACTCCAGCAAATCCTTCCCCAGGCTTTGAGAGGGGCTTTGCTGTGGTGACAAGAGCTATTTGGGCTTTTGAGCCAAGATGGGCAACACCCATTTGGCTCAATCGCAATGTGGGAAATGAACACGTGCCACCCATGCCGACCAAACACAAGCACGCAACATGTTTCAGGAGCTGGTCTGCTGCGTGCAGTCTCAACAATGTCGACCGAATGGCGACATTGAATAAACGAATCCAGCTCAATCCAGTTCGCACTCGGCTGGTGGGAAGCCTTCAGTCACTGTCTGTCTGCTGTATATTCTTCCTGCCTTGACTGCTAGACATAGCCATAGACATCTCTCTCATGAGAGCCCAAGAAGACCGGAGATTTTGTTAGCCTCGCCGCCAAAATCGTTCGCAAACCTAGCATCTGCCCTTGTAAGAGACAGAGCCGAATCCAGAACAATTACCATATCAGCGAACCCAGCTGTGAACAACCAGTGATCCACTGACCAATGACCTCGCCCTTCTTGTATCGTGCTTCTTGCAAGCTTTCGGACTTCCAAAGCTGCGGTGCGTCATTCTAAGGGCATGTATCGGTAGGGAATATCTCACAGCAGGGCACGTATTTTTCCGCCCTTAGACTTGCTGTTGACCTTAACTTCTTGTGGGTCCAATGGAACCTCCCACGAAGCTTCAACCGAATAGCCATCAAGTTGGAGCTGCTACGACGCGGTCATTTTCTGAGATTCTCATTTTCGGAAAGCAGCACACGCCTGGCGGATATTTATCTGGATTGAAGTCTTTTTCCACAAACTGTCTGGTTTGGTGAGTCTTTGGAACCTAAAAGACTCACGTTTTCTTACTCCTCCCAATCTGCTGCCTTTTCAAGCTGTAAGGGCAACCCTGGGAAGACCTGGCATATTTGAGTCTGAAGGAAGACACAAACGGATTGATTTGCAATCAGACCTTTGCCCTTACCCAAAGTGTTTTGAATGCTGGTCAAAGGTTTCATACCCTTTACTCGGTGGTTAATACCCTTTGCCGTTTCTGCTTCATACCCTTTACATGGTGATTCTTTTAGAAACGGCTCAGAGAACCCTTCTCAAAAGCTTGGCGATTTCGAGCCGCCGAACCCTCCGAGCCTTCTTCGCCATCGCCGACCATGTAGTGGCCCTGACAAAAATATCGCGCGATGTCTGCCCGAAACACATGTAGGCCCCAACCAAACGTCTCAGGGAACCTGCCCAAACTCCTCCCAGCGGCTAAGGGTTCAAAATTCAGTCAATAAGCAAATTGAAGCAAACTGGGATGAACAAGGGACTACCAGATGAAGGTGGATCTCTGAAATGTTCCGGTTGGCAACTTGTTGACTTTTTCGGTTGAACATCGATTAAAAGGGCCCCCAAAAATAGAAGAAGAAACAAACACGCATCAGGAGCGGCCAATTTGATGTTCACCACGCCCTACATGCCCGTGACTTGCAACACCCTTGCTTTAAACCACACAAACAGCGAATCCGATTTGAGACTTACCGGTGGCTTCTTTTATGTGAATGGCCACGTGTCTTTATGTTTCTGGAGATTCCTTATATACTGTCAATAGGCCGAGCGGCTGTCATTTTTTCTGGGCCAAGTGCTAGACTTCTCTCTCTGACTCGCTGCCTCAGGGCTGAGCCCTTTGAATGAAACCACTGGCCTCATGTACC